GATTAACAGCATCTCAAATACAGAACAAAATGGAGTCTCTTATGTCTACCTTTTTCTATATAGACACAGTAACAGTCTGATCTTTCTTTCTTTTCCCCACACAGTGGCTCACACTCAGCACTTTGGGAGACCAAGGCAGGAGGATTATTTAAGTCCAAGAGTTTGACAGCAGCCTGGGCAACAAAGTGAGACCCTGGCTCTACAAAAAAATTAAAAAATTAGCCAGGTGTGGTGGCACACACCTGTGGTCCCAGCTACTCAGGCGGCTTAGTGTGGAGGATCACTTGAACCTGGGAGGTCAAGGCTTCAGTGAGCTATGATCATGCCACTGCACTCCAGCCTTAGCAACAGAGACTCAGTCTCAATCAATCAATCAATCAAAAAGGGACCTTCCCCTGCAGGAATCCACCTCTGATCTACCCTCCATAATTTCATGTAAAAAACCTTCCTTTAAGGCCAGGCACGGTGGCTCACACCTGTAATCCCAGCACTTTGGGAGGCCGAGGCGGGTGGATCACCTGAAGTCAGGAGTTTGAGACTATCCTGGACAACATGACGAAACCATATCTCTACCAAGAATACAAAAATTAGCCAGGCATGGTAGTGAGCACCTGTAATCCCAGCTACTCAGGAGGCTGAGGCGGGAGAATCACTTAAACCTGGAAAGCAGAAGTTGCAGTGAGCCAAAGTCATGCCACTGCACTCCAGCCAGGGTGACAAAGAGAGACCCTGTCTCAAAACAAAAAACAAAAAACCTTCCTTTAATCTTACATCAGATGTGTGGGTTTTAAAAATTATTTATGTGTTTTATTTATTTTATTTTATTGAGACGGAGTCTTGCTTTGTGGCCTGCGCTGGAAGGCAGTGGTGTGATCTCAGCTCACTGCAACCTCTGCCTCCCGGGTTCAAGCAGTTCTCCTGCCTCAGCCTCCCATGTAGCTGGGATTACAGGCGCCCGCCACCACACCCAGAAATTTTTGTATTTTTAGTACAGATGGGGTTTCGCCATGTTGGCCAGGATGGTCTTGAACTCCTGACC